TTTATTAGATTTATTATTAATTATTTAAGCTTTTTTAAAAATTAAAAATATAGTTTTCTTATTAATACTCTAAGTATAAGATACTAGGTAGTATAAAGCAGAACGGGCGACGACTTAATAGTCGGGACGGGCCGCCTAATCCCTTTAAGTGCGCTAAGGTGCTACTTTTGTAATAGACCCACTTTTCTGCGATACCTAGCAGGTACCTTTTTAGTAATAAGATTAGCTACGAAACCTTTTACACTAAAATTCTTATATAATATAACTCTTTATAAACTTAAAAACTAATAGTACTTATATTACTATATTAATTCTTAGTAGGAAAATATACCTTTTAATTTAAGACTTTTTATTAGTTTATATCCTTATTTCGTACGCAAGTAGCACCTTAGCGCACTTAAAGGGATAGGGAAGAGTTTACTAAGTGTTTAGTGAAACCTAGACGAACAAGCAACACGCATGCAACTATAATTCACTAGGCCTTAAGTGAACTACCAGTGAATATTATAGTATATAGGGACCTTAAAATTCGGTTTATAGATAGACTCTAGCTTCTTAGCCTTTAATATAGATTATTACATTAACCTAAGCTTCGCTTATAACTCTCTAACTCTGATCGCCTAGTTACAGTCTACGACTTGGTATAGAGAGCAACTAGTGTGTCTAATAACCAAGTAACTTGACTTAGTTGGTTGTAATTGCTCGATACTTGTCAACCAAGCAAAGTAAGGACTCCTGGTCAGCCAAGCAAAGTACCCTGCTTCCATTACTCGGCTTTACTTGATTTACTCGACAAGTTGCCGAATGAGGTATAACGCTAATAGCTAGACATAAACACGCGCTCTGATTAGCTGAAAAAGTATATTATAGAGTCCACGTTAGACGATTCCCCGGGCGGGAGGGTGAATATGAATTTGACGATTGTAATAAAAAAAGCTAAAAATGTCTGCACAACCGTTCCTTCGTCTGATCAACGGAATCCTCTCCAGTTAAATACCGTGGTAGAAATTAGGTTCCTTCAAACTTACACTTTACCTGAAATATTACCCGATTGGGAATAGTCGTCAAGTAAAACCAGCCAAGTAATAACTTTTTATAGCCAACCAAGTAAAGCAAGCGCTCTTGTCAACCAAGCCGAGTAAGAGAGCCAATTTTTGGTTTACTTGGTTGTTGGACACACTGACGACCAATTACTAACGTAACATCGAACAGTTCAGAGTGACTGCCCTAGTGGCTCTGCCAACATAAACTCTGACTAGTTTATCCCTTGGGAACCCTAGCCGTTACAAAAAGTCTGTCAAAAAACCACTGTACACCAAAACTGTAATGGGCTAGGCCCGAGAATAGCTGCAACACCTCGGTTGTGTCGCCGCTGCCAACCAATGATGTCGACGTTGTAAGCGCGGAGTTCGATGAATGGGCCTTGCAGAATGTCCGTCTGAAGCGTACCATTGTGAACGACAGAGCAACGTTCGCTACTGTTTAGTGTCGTGGCCCTTTAGGGACCCCCCTCCGGGCGAAATAAAATCCATCCATCCAACCTTGAAGGTGTTTGCATTGAGAGCGATGGCCAAGACGGCAGCCCAGAGAGCTACAAAGACAGATTGCATCGTAGAGACACCGCCGTACCAAGCAAAGTCCACAATGCTTCGTCTGGAGCTCACCCGGCGACAACTGCGCGGACGACTCCCGGATAGCGTTGGGAAGTATTCGAAATGTATCGATACGGCGCTACCGGGCGAACATACCCGTGCACTATACGACGCACTGAAAAGAAAAGAATCGGATGTGCTGGCTCAGCTTCGGACTGGCAAGACACGACTAAATGAACATCTCCAGGACAGGAGCAGTGGAGTCAGAATTGTGTGAGTTCGGCCAGGCCACGGAGACAATTGAGCACTTTCTCTTTCGTTGCAAGAGGTGGACTGACTTTATCCGCTGATGTAGTGTTTATTGGCAATAGTGCAGTGGTTTCGCGCGAGCACACCAAATCACCAGAATTTGGCCGCTAATGGAAGTTTATCAAGTAAAAAAGAACTCGTAGTCCAATTACTCATATCTTCACAGGTCGCTATAGTCGTGTTGATGCACTAGTGTACCCCGTATGTGCGAGCTGACACTGTCGTCTCGTGAACCACCATTCCAGGTTGCCATAACAGGTAACCTCGAAGTCCAAGTCTGATTTGGCGGGAAAGAAGTTCCTCGCTGAACGTGCCACAAATACCAGGACACTGCTGACATACGGGCATTGATCAGTTGTTCGTGATATGGCGAATCTGATAGTCGCTTTGTTAGGCACTTGTTGCTCCGCTCCCAACCAGTCTAGTCTAACTTGCCCCACGCTTGCTCGCGAGCCGTCGTGGTAATGTAAAAGCAAGCCTGTAACAACGCCGTCAAAATTGCATATCTTGATAAAGTCGAGGTTTTTAAGAGGCGCAAACGTATAAAAATAGCCCTCAACCGAAGTTATCGCCGGGTAGCACGATTCAGGTGCCGGTATGCGCAAGTTACGTGTCTCATTGACTTCTTCTGGTGCTGGAGTCAGAGCCAGTTCGCGTATTCCGGCCGAATCGTCGATGAAAAGGTAATCCCTTTGACCTCGAAGTTTTGCAACGAGGGAATACGTGTACGCTTGACCTGGCGTTGGATGATGTCCTAATATATGTACGCGGCCCGCTGTAGTCACTATGATTAGATCAACTATTTTTCGGCGATATAGGTAGCAATCACGACGCCACAGCTCGCCCAGGAGCTCGCCGCGACTAATAGGAATGTGCAGCCATGTGGTGGTGTCGTCCGTCATATTGGCGTAGCAAGACACGTCGTCCAAGGCTGTGTGCCTGGCAATGCGAAGCGCTCGGCGAGCAGGGTTCCATGCCACTGAGTAGCCCGTCGTGCCCGAGTCATTAATCGTAAGACGATTGAATCTAGCTGGCCCTGACGATGGGTATAGAGGAAATCGGACAAGCCCCGGTCGGAAAAACGGGGCCGACCACAATGGGAGTTGGAAATCTCCATGCTGGTCGGTCCGGAGGTTACGAATTTTGAGTCCCTATATTGATTAGTGCAATTGCAACTTGGCAAAGAGGAGCAAAGCAGCAGGTAACATTACATCGAAATCAAAACGAAGCCCATATCCTTCATTGAGCGGAAGGGCTTGCCACCAGTCCCAAGGGCAACTTTCAATTTCCAGAGTTTCGTTTGAGCAAGCGAATACTACTTTCTTCACGCCCAGAGGACCACGTGCAATGTAAATGACGTCAGCTGCCGATGTTGTCTCGGTATCGTATACAAGTTCCTCTGCCGGTTCGTTGCTTAGAGCGGACACGTACGTTTCACCATGCAGCGTCACGTAGTTTGCCCATATGCAGGACGAAGTTGTCACTTCGCCACTCGAAGCTTCAGTTATCTCATCTTCAGCTTGCAAAGTCCATCGCGCTAAATCGAGCGTCGAGACGCTAGTGCGTGCCAATTGGCGCTTGAGGTGAGTCGTCCGAGCAATCGACTCTTCAAACCCAGGGTCCCAAACCATCACCCTACAGGTTCCTAATGATGGCAGGCCCAGTTCTGCACAGGCCAAGTGGCATGCCAGTGCCAGGCCACCTTGGTGTCGACAGTTTAGTATTATGCATGAATAGTACTCACCCTCTCGAGAACACGGGTCTTCCTTCGACGGGACTAGGTGTATTATTATTATTTTAGTCGCGATGGATTTCCTAGATCATAAAGGATTTGCCTACCGAAAACGATCGCATCGCCATCTTTCATTTCCAGAGTGCAAAGCACGCAGTGGGGGTCGACGCAGCCATCCATTTCTGAATTGCTTGAGTTGCGGACGGAGGGCGGTTTACAATTCGTAGGGTCTGGTAGGGCGATATAAGTACTGTCGGAGAGTGCCCCGCTTTTCAAGCCCCTTTTGCCAGTGAAACCTTTGCAGACCAATCGCAACATGCAAAGCGCATTGCCAGGTAAGCGTTGGGTGCCATGACATGGGAGCGGAACTACAGAGAATTCGTGGAACAAGAATCCTATTAGACGCCGGACGTGCCGCCGAGCAGCTCTTATTACTCTTTCTTGGGCTAATGTTGGAGACTCTTCATCCCGAGAAAGATACTGCACGAGCCAGCAGATAAGAAGGGGAAGACATTCGTCTCATGTCCATTGACCTTTTCTCAAAATTGCAGCATCTTTACTTCGCTTTCTTGTGGGTACAGACGCATTTGACCAAACATGTACTCGATGCAACGAGGGAGGATCATTTGTCTTCCTCATAACCTCATCACAACATGCGTGGGCGAACAAAGCAAAAAGTCAAAAGAGAAGAAAGCAAAACATATATTACTAACTAGTAAAAAAACAAGAAAACCTCCAACATCATATACGGCCACCCATGTAATGGAATAAAAAGAGCATTTATTAGGGAAGTCGCGTTACGAAATATCTGGTCCTTTTCTAAACCCGTGCATGGCGACCGAGATTCGGTCGGCGCTTCCAGTCGTCCTCGACCGTTACAACTTGGTTGCCATGGCTATTGATGAAAATCAGTTCATCACGCGCCATCCTGTGTCGTACTCTTCTAATATTGTTCGTCACGTCGATAAAAGGGGTATCGGAGCCGTGACCCGGTCCAGAAGCACCAGCAGCGGTCTGGGCTTGGAATTGCTGTGGAACGTTTTGGGATGTATCCTGATTATCATCCATTCTTATAGCCCCCTGGCTGCCAAGTTCTGGTTGTGAGGGCTCTCCATAATCAATAGTCCTCTCTTCGACAGTGCTCTCAGGCCACACTTGACTGGTTGCCGTCTCCGGGAAGGCCAAGCTACTTGGTCCAGCCGTCGCAGATGTAGTCTGGGACTGTAATACTTGAGATGGATGTATTTTCAACTTATTCGGTTTCGTTTTCACCGAACACACAAAGCGAAACCATTCCTCCGATGCCTGAGGTACAGATACGTCCAGGTGTTGACCATAAAGCTCCTCAGGAAATAGAGATTCCAGCCTGTGCACACCAGCCGTATACAACCAAGTGTGAAATGTTGTGGAGCGCGTCGTAATAACATGCAACCTTTCATATTGATGTGTCCTGACGATCTCTTCTGCATCATCCAATACCTGCTTGAAATGTTCTCGATCAGACATTCTCTCCGGCGCCTTCGCCTCTAGAACGACGTCCGCTGTCAGAGTCAAGTGCTCTGTGTCTACTCTCCATACAACTCTGTCGGTTCTGCTGTATGTACCTTCTCGACCAGGACGCGCTGCTGTGTTAAACTCAGCGCCGACTGAATATCCGTCTTCCAGGCGGAAGTCGGCCTGAAGCTCTGAAAGGAAAAAGTTGGCCTGTGGAGACTCAAGATTCGGCTGACTGCGAGCGTACAAGTACATTGCTTGATGGACTGGGTTTCCTAGCAGATTGCGGCAGTACTGCCCATCCGATAGTAGATATACGGGAGGGCCAAAGTTAGCCATGTTAAGAATTTGCTCGAGCTCAGTATTAGTAGGTGGGTAGCACTGGAAAGGACCAAAGCTGTGGGCGCATTATGGGAAGAAAAACCACATACTTATGGGGGGAAAAGGCTACTTTATACCAGGACTTTCCCTTTCCTCCCTGTTGCCGTATACACACAGTTATTGCGCAGCTCACGTCTTTACTGACATCTGACACGCTGAAGGTTTCTGTTGCCCTGGCACTCATTATGCACGCAGTGTTTGCAAGCACCCTTTGCACGCACTTGACTCTTTGCACGCACTCTTTCCACGCACTCTTTGCGAGTCTATCTATTGGGAGCTGTATGCATGAGCGCTATATGCATATAATTAGCTTAATTTAATTAAGGACTTTATAACCTATACCTTTTAGTGTATTTTACATATAAAAAAATAATAACGTGTTATTGTAACGCGCACACGGAGTTACCTACAAAGAGGGACCGAATCGGGTACTACGCATAGGTAGTTACCTGTAAAGAGAGACTAAATTAGGTAATAGACCCACTTTTCTGCGATACCTAGCA